AAAACTCCGCCAATCAAACGGAGCCTTAGATGATTTTTGTCGCAATACATTGATGCATTTTAAGCTCAATAGTAATAGTATCGCCATCGTTTTAATCAATTATTGTTGCACAAATTTGTCACATTCGATATTATCAATTCTGACTTTCATCTCTTATTCTCACAAGAAGATATAATTTTAGATTGGATAGGTATATTATCCACATCAGTTGTTGTGACTGGTTTAAATTTCATGTTGAGAATGAGGTCATATGTGAACGAATATAATAATCGTGTTACAAATTATATTGTCGGGAGAGATTCAAACAAATAAACACACTACAAAATAATTCTTCTCACAAAAGCAAATAAGTAAAATACATTTCTTGATAATTCTATATGCTGAAAATATTCTAAAAAAATCACACCAAACCACAAGAACACAAGTAATTATTTTACGTGGAAAAACTTCCCCGATGTGAGAAATAAAACCCACTAGACCCAATCCAGTCAAAACCTCTACTATAAATCAAATAATAGGTACACAAAGTCTTCTCTAATCACAACTAGAGGTTACAACATATACTTCTTCAAGATAACAAAGATCTTGGCAAAACAATATGAAATAGGAAAAATATACCAACAAATCCAATTACTATCCATGCACATTAACCAATGTTCCAGAACTCAAAATCCGATCTCCACTGTTTAGATTGTAGTTCCATGTCTTGTGAACCTCTCCTCCAAATTGCAGCTTGATTGGACCACATATGACTCGGGATCAGAGCTTTGATCAAATCTAGGAACAGAAAAAAAATTGTTTTCCTTTCTTTTCAAAAACGGGTTGAACTCCAATTTTCTCCAACCTTCTTGTATTTATATTCATCATTAAGGTTAACAACTTAATGGACTTTGGGCTATAATATAAAATCCCAAATATGGGCTTTCCTCCTCATAAGAGAAAATAACCCAACAAATCTCCCCCTTTGACTATGGTGAGGAATTTGACATTTTAGCAATTGAACAACAATCTTCGAGCTTTTTCTATGGAATAGTCTTCATCAACATATCAGAACCATTATAATCGGTATGAACTTTGATGTGAGCACGGAGTCGAGCACTTCAAAGTCAAGCTCGGGAAAGGATCCATTTATTATCGAAGGAGGTCCAATGACACGGTAGAAAGCAAAGCGGGTTAAAGAGGCGATGAGATTGCTTGCTCAAGTTACGGTGGATGAAATGTCGAAGTTAACAAGCAAGGGAACAAGTTTCATGTTGGGCTCGGAAGAAGAAATCAAATGGATCAAAATGATTCAAGTAGGGTACGAGGAAAATGTATGGGACAGCTATGCGGTCGCATAGTTGTCTGTCGCATGCCCCTTTACCGAAACTCCAAATGGTAGTTTCAGCTGATCTATGCTACCGCATAGATTTACACTGATTTACACGATACGGTCACATAGTTCATTTTGGGTGCGAATTTTTTCAATTTTCGCGTAATCTTCTATTTAAGTTAAAACTCTATTTTGTAATATCTTTTGCTTTTATTTTTTTTGGGCTTAATTCCTTTTTAGCTAGGTTTTATGGGTTCTCTATAAATAGAACTCATTCTTTTCATTGTAGGACACAACACTATTATTGAGATTTATTGAGAGGTAAATTTGCTTTCGAATTCTTGTTCTTCGTTGGACAAATCACAAATTTATCAAGATTCTTCTTGTGGCGTTCAAATCAACTAGGTGAGATTCTCAAATATTCAATCACTTGGTGAGATCAAGTGGTGGCAATGAGGAGGAGAAATAGGGAACGATCGATCAATACATGGGAGGACTTGAAAGCTATGCGGAAAAGGTTTGTACATAATTACTACTACCGAAAGCTTCATAAAAAACTACAAAGCCTCTACCAAGGATCGAAGAGTGTGGAAGACTATGGCCAGGTTTTTGAACGGGTTGAATCGGGGCATAGCTAACGTAGTGGAGCTGCAACACTATATAGAATTAGAAGACACATGGCTATGAAGGTGGAGAGGCAATTGAAGAGGAAGGAGACCACTAGGTCACTCATCCGTAAAATCGAAGTGGGACAACAACAAAGGAGATGTGGCTATTTTTGGTGATAAATTGAATTGCAAAAGGAAAAAGAAGAAAATGCTAGAAATAAAATGGAATATTAGCCATCAAGGAGTCAAGACATCAAATACTTTAGGTATTTAGGGTCAGA